CGGGGGCGCCGAGCTGCGCGCGCTGCGGGCCGAGAACGAGCGGCTGCGCGGCCTCCTGCAGCACCTGCGCCGCCGCCTCCGCGCCGAGCTCGCCCGCGCCGCGCAGGTGAGTCCGCGGCCCGGCCCGGCCCGGCCCGGCCCCCCATGCCGCCCCCCCATTTATGTCCTCGCTGCCCCCCGTGCCCAGCAACCCCCCGCCTCTTCTCCGCCGCATCCTGACGCCAACCCTGCGAGGTGGGCCGGGCCGGGCGTGCAGCCGGCTCTCCCGAACCGGGGTGCACAGCTCGAGCCCCCAGGTCACGGTGGCCTTTCCCGGAAGACCTGCGCCGCCGTGAAGAACCAGGCGTGAATGGCAATGCCATATGCATCATCGGGCACGAGTATCTGCTCACGAATATAGATTTTAAAACAGAAATATACTAAGGGTGCCGTCTGGCATGTTTAGACAGAAAAAAGTCCGGCATTCTACATTCTTCACCGGGAAGGGACTTTTTCCCATCTAGGATTGTGCCCTAAAATCAGATGGTATCAATAACCAAAAGGAGAATCCTTACCATTAAAATATGGAATTAAAACCTTTAAGGGCACGCAGTCCTAAGGATGTTAAGTTATTGGGCTTTTTCTCTCCAAACAAGCATAGAATTGTTCCCTAAAATCAGAGCATGCCAATAAAGCCATGTCTGGGTGTTTGGGGAAGGCATGGTTAAGAAACATATCTTTAGCGTGCCCCAAACATGGAAACATAGAAAACAGAGCGAGTCAGAAGGGGTCTCCTGGGCCATCTAGTCTGACCTCCGGCACCAGCCAGCTCCGCTCACGCCATGCCCACCATGTGCACGTCCAGCCTATCCTTGAACAATCGCACCGATGGGGAAACAAGATGAATTTGGTGCTTGCCGACATCAACAGGCAGCGAGTTCCACAGGAGAGAGCCACTATGCAGAACCTGCTCTGGGGAGAGTCCAGGGTCTTTTACATTGACGGCCTCTCCAGTCTCCATCACTGCAATCTCTACATCACGCTGAGTGCAATTGTGGCATTTGTTTTAGTAAAAAGAAGCAGGTTTTTACATTGCTATAATATGGTTTGGATTTTCCTCCTTAGGCACCTCCTGATGCAAATGTTGCTGCTTGCCAGGCTGAACATAAAAGAGAGAAGAAGCAGGAAAACCAGGTAGCGGATAGATTTCAGAATGAGGTGGGTGAACTTTTTGGTGCGCCCAGGTAGCCAGTCTGAATTTATCTCTTATCTGTGGACCTTGCTGTTAGTCACAATGTCATGCCCGACCCATTGCGTCCCCATGGACAACAATCCTCCAGGCTCTCCTGTCCTCCACCATCCCTCGTAGTCCACCCAAGCCCACCCCCACTGACCCCATCCAGCCACCTCATCCTCTGCCGTCCCCTCTGTGGACGTTAATTCTTCCCAAATGGAACAAAGAGCAGACAGACAAGGGCGGCGGGAGAGTTTTCATCTGCCGTGGTCCCGACTGACTGATTTCTTTTGCGTGGTGATCATCCAATCCTCTGGGTTCCCCCCTCGATCTGAAGTGGTACTTTCCAGACACAGCTCTACCACTGCAACAGTCACCTTGGAATTACGGTTCTGTTTGGCGAAAGCGGTGCTAAGAGAAGCCCAGGGCATGAAGGGGAATACGGTGCGAATGTTTGTGGCCTCAAGAGACAGGCTATGGTTACCTGAAGGCAGAATTCCTGCGCTAAAAGGAATTCCTGCTTGCCGTGGCTTTGCAGTCGTCCTGGAGACGTGCGCTTTGGGATCCTAGTACTAAGTGCCAAAAGCATGGCATCACACGCATGCAGATTTATTGTTAAGTAAGAGATCAGGTAGCTAAAAATTAAGACATGAGGGATCACTTGCGAACAATGACAGCTGTGCATGTGGGAGTCGCTCTGTGTATGGGAAGATCCAACTGCATGCACAGTTGCGTTTTTGCTGTTGTTGTCCAGACTGCTGAGGAGACAAGAAAGTGACTTGCCTCTTTGGCAATAGGAGTGACCAAAAAGAAAGGGTGAAAGAAAGCCAGCCTAGAACAGGGTGAGAAAGAAGGGTAGAAGGGAAAAACAGTGCTGAAATCAACGGGTGTTCCCATGCTCTTGCGTGCAGTCCTTGCCGTGGGATCGCACTTTAGAGAGAACCAGATGGATTGTGCTGTAGGGGTGTTGATGGACTCGGATGTTAATTTTGCTCTGGGGGCCCTGTGCAATTTTCACAGCTAGAGCAGGAGCCAGCCTTCATCGAAGAGAGACTGAAGCTATATGAAGAGCTCAAAAAAGAACATGATGCTCTCCTTGAATCCAGAGCATCCGGCCAGAGCAGGCTGATCGAAATCACCCTGGCCGATGGGAAGCAGTTGGAAGGAGAGTCTTGGAAAACAACTCCATATCAAATAGCTTTAGGAATCAGGTAACTTTCCATGTACATTATCATCTTTGACAAAAAAATCAGAAATCTTCCTGAGCATATGGTATCCTGATTCCTTTTATTAAACTAAAATGAGAAACCTACAAACAAAACGTCTGCTGATTTCCTTTGAACTCAACGGCCTAATTCACATGTAATGCCAACCTAGAGTTGTTTAGACAGCAGGACAACTCAGGGTATGAGTGGAAACTGGTTTTTTTCTAAAACCAGACAGCCCATGGTTTGTTGCTTGTAGTTAACAAACCATGATTTGTTAGTACAGCTGGATTCACACAGCTTTACAACCCACGATTCACCAGTAGCTCATAGTCAATCCATAGTTAGGTTAATTGTGTTGCCTTAACTAAGTAACTAGTTTGAGGAAGGATTGCTGTTGAATTGTGGGTTATGGCTGAATTGTGGATTATCATTATGTGGGAGTAACAAA